TATGGGTTAAACAGCATGATTCACTTAGGAAAGTAAAATCTCATCGTAAGAATTTAGCATGGCCTAATTACTGAACTTTAAATATATACTTCACCTGATTCTGCATCAGCTTCCACACAAATCCTTACTGATACGTTTATTTTGCAAGTATACAGATGCTGTTTCAAAGAGGAATTGTCCACACAAGAAAACTTTACAAAAGGGTATGTTTATTTCTATTCTGCTTTTCCATTTGGTATAAAGGCAACAAAAAAGCAACTTGATCTTAATGTGTTGTGACCTGAAAATGACTGAAAATGAGAAAGTAATGATTAATAAATTTGAGTCAAGAGGTTGCATGAGTTTATCACTGATCCATCACGAGATGTCAAGCCAGGTAAGAATTCAGGAAAAGGAACGTGTAAACAGTCAAACCTACACTTCATAATTTTCATGGGCTGATGTTATATGCTCAATTTTCATTAAGTCCCAAAGGGAGACAGAGGTCAAACTGTGACCTTTTTGCAGATAGTTTGGAAAGAACTGATTCTTGCATCGCAGAAGCCCTTCCTGAAAAGACCTGAAGCAATAGGCAGCTGCAAGATCCTACACCTACAAATCATTTACTGCAATGTCAAAATGTGTAACAGTTATTTTACTTCGTATTCACTTGCAACAGAAGGCATAACTAGCGAATTTCTGTCACCATGAAGAAAGCCACATACTTGACAGGAAACAGGGCTTCTGTATAACCAGTCCTGAAACAGACTTCAGTGTGATTGTACAGATACATCAATAAACTGCTTCAACATATAGTTTGATATTACCTTAAGCTAGAACAGCAGTATGTACATTCTTTAATTTTTCCTGTCACCATCCATTTCTACTATCTTACATTACCATTATATGTGAACTACCACGTTCTTTATCTGCTTTCTTGGCAAAATAAGAGATCATGCATAAATTCTATGAAAAAGGCATTCCTTTATTTTTAAAAAAAGGACCATTTTTCCATTACCAAGTGAAAACTTTACAAAGTAAAGTATTTCTCTTCCAATAATATTTTAATATAAAAACTTAAATCACTTGCTCTGGTCTTACTGTTCTAATAGGAAGTCTTGTGGCACTGCAGGATCCAGGTATTTTCAGCCTTACTCTAGTATCTAATCAAAGTTCATCACTTTTTAAAATAAAACCATTTATGTGGCCACTTACCATCAGCAAAACATCTCTACCACTGAACCAAAAGAGACTAAACTCTAATAGCATTATTACAATGACAAGCTTTGTTAAAAAAATTTATTTTGAAAGTTAGTCACAACCTTAAAATTGTACAAAGACAACAAGCACTCAAATTACACAGAGTTAGCAGTGAGTACAATGTGAACACAACAACAGTGGGTCTTGCCTCTCTTTATATGTAAATATAAATAGAGATTATCCTTGCCAAACTTCCAGCCTTTTTTTTTTTCTTTCCTGAAAACCAGCTCATTATGCTGCAAAACCTAGCAGGGAGCATTTCACTGTTGGGTTCAACAAAATTGCTAAAAGGGGCTCTGGCTAAAAATAGTCCTTCTATCATGAGAATATCCCATACTTTGCAGAACCAAGTTTCTCTCTCAATTGAAAAACAGCTTTCCCTTTCATTACGTCGAGTGTTTCACCTCCTCTAGGGACCTGCCAAATTACAGGCTTCAAAATGCTTAAAAATATTAGAACTTGCTCAAGTTTTTTTCAAGAACATGCAAGCTGAAACTAACATGGTGTATACATGTAAGTAGTCACAAAACAGAGAATGTTCCTCCTTGTATTTTACTCTTTGAAAGTGCTGTTCCAAGATAAGCACTTTGGAGTAATTTTAGCTGTGACTTGGCTAAACTAATATAAGTACATGGTCAGAGAAGAAAATACTTCTTCTTTTTCCTTTTTTTTTTTTTTTTTTAATATTACATTTGGAGCTTCAAATATATTAATAAAACCACCTGGCAAAAAGTATCCCTTATAGCTTGTCCCTACTTATGTACGTACAATGAAAACCATCCTCCCTTTACTTCTGAGAGTACTCTTTACACGAAATACATGGAAAAATAATGCAGTGTTCTTGCAGAAAAAAGGAAAACCCCATGGAGACTGTTAAACAACTTAACCACAGCCTCAGTTCTAGGAATTAGTTATTACTTAGGTTTAGATATACCAGAAAACTTCTGCTGTAAATCTTCCCTAAGATCAATAGCAATTAAACCAAGATTATGCTTTATCCAACTATAGCCACACTGGCAAAATTATGTTCTGAACTTGAGTGTTTGCAGGACTCTCTTCCAAGACTGAGTGGAACCATTTTTACTTTTAAAGAAAATAAGTGTAACTGTTTTGTTGATGATCTGGGTTATGTCCATGAATATAAACTTACTTATTCATTATTCTTTCTAGATTACATGTACTTTATTTTTCATTGTTTTACTCCATTATGAATGTTCGTTGCAATGGATCAGTATCTTGATTTTCAAAAAGCTTGAAAAATGTTGTGGGTTGTTTTTTTAACAAGAATATCCTATTATTAAGACACCAGTTTCCTACAAACTGCTGTGCATTGGAATTAAGTCGGTTCCATTCAAAATCCTGATGACTAATTTTTGCTTCCAAATTGTTATGAGCTGGTAGCCTATGACTACATTGATAAGGTTCTTCACCAGGCTCGTACCCTCTGCAGTAATTCTGCATAAAAAATAAATTGGTGCTAGAATAATTACTGAAAATAGTTACAGAATTTTATTAATTCTGTAAATTGAGGCTCTGTACACAGACTGCTTTATAAGTAGAGTAAGCTTTTGAGAAACTAAGTGGTTTAATACTGCTTTGCCTTATTGAGAATGACTGCTTTTCTTTTTTTAACAAAAGCTGTTGGTGTTGCTAACTTTATTTTTATGTAAAACCGTAAAAGTGAAAGTAACTTGGTTATTTTTCAGTTGTGCAAGAGCCTACTTAAGGCTACCATTAAGCTTTTCAAAATGTCTGTCAGTTTGCCAGTCAAGGGAAAAACATACAGCATTGAATCCTATATAAAATGGTTATGGGGTGCAGCCTGTGAAATCCCATGTTAGCAACAACTGAGCTAACTAGCCCAAATCCATACCTCTCAATCATACCATCTTCTCTAGATGCTTTTGTTTCATGGAAGCTTGTTTTCTCAATACACCATTGTTTTCTATTTGCTTCAATTCTAAGATAGCATTCATAAGGTAAAAAAAAAAAATAATTAAAGCAAGGATGTTGTTTCACTGTAATAAAACAGCAGCTGTAAAAGAACACTTCCAATTATTATCAGGACAGAAAAGGCTATTGGCAGTGTACCTTTCACTTGGCTTAAGAAGATTTATAAAACAGTTCTAGTCCAAGGCAGTTCATGATCTTAAGCTAAACCCAAGCTTGTGCAATAGCAAACGATATTTTGGAAGGCATATTTTGATATCTAGGATTAGAGAAAAAAATTACTACTGTTATTTCTGTCTGAAGTCCTAAACCAGCAACCAGTATCATTGACAGGATTGCTATGACTGCATGGAGTCCTGCTAGCTTCAACAGGGACCGAAGGTGCAGCAGTGTACTGACTACCTGCGTACCCGTACACATGGATAGGCAGCCTCCTGTTCTTCGGTTTTGTCCACTTACGCAAACAGGTCTCATAGCAGAAGGCTACAAGACATGGTTATAATGTAACACAAGTGCATTTCTATAGAAGCTAATTGCACAAAAAACAGTTGTTATTAAGTGTGTAAGTCTCTCTCAATCCAGCAAAAGAGACTGCTCTAGAAATAGCTAGGGAAATAGCTACAGAAACAAAATAAGCAGGTTATTTTGTCTCTTTTTAGCAATTACTTAGTATTGCTGAAAATATCTGGAATAAAAGAAATGCTGAGAAAGAGATACTGTGAAACTCTACTGGGGAAAGGAAGCTTAACAGAACTGGCTCCACCTGAGGGAGTTAAAGCATGCTTACATTATATCCACCACGTGGAGGATTTCTGTGCTGCTAAAAGATGCCTGGCACCTCCCTGAACCCAGAGCATCTCAAGGAAATCTAGAGCAGGTAGAAGTTGGTTGTATTCCAGCACTTTGCACAATGCTCCCTCATTCCATTCAAAAACTTTATAGGGTGCTCACATCGAGTGGACTATTTGGCATAATAATTTGGAATAGCTCAGTAATCGTTTACTAGATTTTGGAGAGACTAACATTATTGAAATTCTTCAATTTCCCATTTTACTTTTTGCCAGTCCAATAGATGCGGCCTTGGCACAGAGTAAGAAATACAGTCCAGGTCTGTAATTCCAGTTTACCTTTGAAGTATACACACTTTCCTATATGCGCTTACAGGTATTGAATGGCCTTTGCAGTAACTGTTTTGAAAACTATTTTAATCACTTTACCTCCTTTGACTAAAAGGCAGAGGACAAGGCCAGAGATGTAGAGGACCTTCAGGGAAAGATGGAGGAGCCTCTTCTGCTGTGCACTGTAAAAAAGCTTTCTCAACTCCATAATTTAGTGCCTCCCCCATCCCCAATTTAGATTTAGCATCCTTTGTCCTGCTAGCAAGAAAAAGGCAGTAATCCCCTCTACTAAGATCTTGGTCCAGTATAAGTTCCACTTGCTAGCAGCTGCACTGGAAACCACACTCAGTTACTGGTTTGTCTACTCAACTTCCAAAGATTGGCACTGAAACTGAAGGGGACATATTAAACCGAGACAATGAAACAGTGATTTTAAAAAAGCGGGCATGGTAAACCTGCAGAACTCCTAGCTTTATGAGAATAGTGGAGTTCAGAGGTCAATACAAGAGACCAGCTATTTAAGCTAGATAATGAATACATCCACAGTTGCACTGAATAGGATAAGAGAGTATTCTAGAAGAAAAATGCTTCCCATTTTAGAATGTAAACCAAATTGAATACGAATTTGCAATAATCCTCCCCCAACAGAGCAGTTATATTTTAACTAACCATGCTACAGCTTCTTGCATTTCAAATGTGCAGCAATTCTTCTTAGTCACCCATGGACAGGAGGATACTGGACAAAGCAATCCACTGACATGATTAACAATCCCTACCGCATCATCTTCCTTGTATATTCAGATGCACAGTTTAGGTAAGTGAGGTCCTCCATCCAAGTGCCTTTTTCTTAGCGTCAGTTACAGCTGGACTGAAGGTGTATGCCAGGTATGTTCCCTACATTCATCATGAGTTCTACATCAATGTAGCTCTGATGTCTACAGCAGGGTTGCAGGGTTAGCAACAGTCTGTGGCATACCACTAAGTTCACAAATAGATTGTCATTTCTACAATAATACAAAATAGCTTGCAAAAACCAATATGTAACACTGTATATATGCATGAATATAAAAATAAACCACACCATCAATATGTAAAACTTCACAACGATGATGAAAAGTTTTCTTCTCAACGGTCTTCAGTATTGATGAGCTGGTTCTCATTGTCATACCCATCAGGCAGGTATGCTTTCCTTAGCTGGTCTGACTTGGGTATCGAACTGCCATTCTTGACGTAGCGGGACAGGAAGGCTCGCACAGAAGGATGATCAGCCTTCTCAAGCGGAATATTAGCTTCCAGGCACATTTTCACAAAGTCCTGGATGACGCTGGTTTTCTCTGTCTGGGCAGTACTGTTGCACTGAAGGGAGGCAGTCAGAGTCCTTTGCTTCTTCCTGACGTTCTGTTCTTCAAACTCTGCCTTTCGCTTTGTGTGTGTTTTAGACTTGAGGTGGTCATTGATAGCAGACTTGCGAACGTGATTCAGAACCACATTGCAGGAAGTACAGAAGAGTTTTCCTCCATCTTCGTGCAGCTCACTGCCAAACTCAGTTACGCGATCCTGAGGAGTCACATACAAAGCAGTCTTTGAGCGGTTACGTGATGGAGCAGACTTCACTCCAAATCGTTCCATTGTTGCCTTCAATAAACTTTACCTGAAAGCTTAAAAAAAAGAAAATTGCTGTTAAAGTGTGCTAATGATTTCAACCAAATAGTTCTGGGTGCAGTCTATTCAATATTCAATATAGCAGTGATTGACATATAAAAGATAATTACATGTCAAATACATGTGTGAAACTATTATTGAAAGGTTCTTCATCTTGAAGTCCAAAGAACTTAGAAGACTGAAGTTCCTCACCGGTCGGAGTAAAATACTTCTTAGTTTCTACAACTACAAAGCTCCACGGAACCCTCAAAAGTCAATCTGTTTGCCACTGAAAGTCAAATAGAAAGGTTTTTTGCTTTTTCTTGAAGACAGTTTTTATCCTTTCCCCTTTAGTGTAAAGGGTGCTTTCTTCTTAATATTTTCAACATACTTGACAGTTTCTTGGTTATGTTGAGTCAGTATTTTTCTGTTTACTTCCTGAAAATGTGTATTAGTTCTGTTAGCAAAAACTTAGGTGTCCAAATATCAGGCAAGAAGGCCATTCCTGTCACAAAAGCCAGTAAAAAAACCCAACAAACAAACCAAACCAAAAAAAACAAACCTGAGCTTTGTCAGCACTCATTTGGGAACAACCCTCACTTGTCCCAGCTCAAACCATAACTACTAGATTGAACCTCAAGTCAAAAGCAAATCTTTTTGTCATTGCAACTAGAGACTAGTAAAACAGCCTAATGTGAACAGAAACTTGCATACATTTCAATTCAAAATAAGAACCTGTATTTTCAAAGATGACAACTTCTTTGAGGAAGGTAACTGATAACTGAGTTGGAGACTTTCTAACATCACTCTAAATTTCACTATGTTACCAAAGCAGCCAATAACCTAGTCAACCTAACTAAAATCAAACAGGACCTATTTCTTTTTGTTGTTGTTGAGAAATAGAGTAGCTGGTGTAAATCTCAGTCAAGATAATTTAAGTCCTTTTCAAAGTAAAGTTGAAGTCAAGAAACAGCTCTGTTCAGGTTTGAGGTTTTCTGAGCAAAATGATCATTCGTTACATTAACTACCCAATTCCTTATAAAAAAATAGGGCAACAGGTGTTTCTTAAAAATACATATTTTTGCAAATACTTTGAAGAAATATAATAGGCTGCCTGGGCATTTATGGGTATAAACGACTTTGAAGAATTTTTGTATTGCCTGTGCTTATAAGGCAGACCGAGAGATCGAAATACCTCTAGATGTATTATTCTCTGTAATTATTTATTTTGTTACACAGAGTTTGCTGTTGCAACATTTTAAAAGATCTGCCTTTAAAAGCCTAGAATTCCCCAACAAACTGTAAGTTGAGCTTGTCCAGCTCTAAGGACTGAATGGAGTTTCTGCTGTCCAGAATGCTGTTTGCTTGCTCTGGAAATAGAGCAAAGGAATGGAGAATTCAGTCTTCAGAATTGCCTTTTTTCTTAAACCACTGCCATGCTAAGAGATGACAACCTCTTGAAAAAAAGGAGACCAAGATCTTGGTATTAGCTACTTTCCTAGTTATTTTTTTGCATTATCTGCTACTTTCCAGAACTGTAAGTCTTGACTGATACTGTATGACACTACAGACTAAGATAAACAATCTTTTTTCAGCATCGATGGAACGTTTTTCGTTCTTTTTGTTGTTTTATGCAATTTATCCCCACGAGTTTCCTAAGTAACTGTTTTCTGAAATCATGCGGAAAACAAGTCTTAACCTAACATAAACTTGTTGCTTAGGCTCATGAAACGTCAAAACAAATCCCCTACCCAACTAGGTGTTTGCACTTACGCTTTATCAAAATCCGTAGGAATTCTGTGAGCAGTACGAGTACTGCAGCACAGGATTTTTGGTGGGGTTTTTTTTGTCTCAAGTTTTGGCATGGCTTCTTTGATGCCTGCTAAAGCCTGAACTACTTCTGGGTTCCCAAGCGCAGGGGAAGGTGTGAGTGCAGACCAGGCGCCCGGGACAGACACCCCATCTACCCTCTGTTACGCTCTCAAATGCGGCAAGCTTTTCCGCAGCGGTGGGAGCCCTGGGGGAGGTGGATGAGCCCCGGCTAAAGGGTGCCACCGGGGATCGCACCGCTGCGTGTGCACGGGAGGGACCTCTTGGCGAGGTGAGGAGGGAAGCAAGCCCGGATTGCCAGCCGCCAGGCAGGTTTCGCTGTTCCCCTCGCTGTGACCGGCAGCCAGAACTCGATGCATTTACCTCCTGGGGTTTGGTCACCGGATTGACGGCGCCATTTAACCCGTGAGCGCCTCTGAGGAGTGGCGGGCTCCACCGCCCACCGCCCTCCTTTCCCTCCCCCGCCCCGG